GGATTTTTTTTTAGCATTACCTATTTAACCCTGTCAAAATTGTTAACAGTTGACTGACCCTGTCTCGAGAAATTATTCTGAAATAGAGGTCTCAAACTTTAGAGCTGTTAGCCAGATGAATGGAGTCTTGACATAGTGAACACTTCAAATTGATACATGTAGATCCTGTTTCACCATGTATTATTGTCACCCATTTTTATATCATATGTATTCTCTACACTGTATTGTTTATGAGAATAAAACCATTGTCATTGTTGAAGTAAAAAAATGTATATTTGTTGGTTCATTTCAGATTGTAAACTTGGATCCGCTGACTGTAAAGTTCTTGCGGAAAACTGATAAAACAGGATTTTTCGTATGGCCGAGAAGAGAAGATGTGTCCGAAGTTGAGGAGAAGAAGATTATGAGGGTTTTGCCACTTCCTACATTAGAAGGGAGGGGGANACTTTCTAACCCCTTTCCTGCTATTTTAAGAGACACCTTTCAACTTGCATAATTGGACCTTAACTTGAGATCATGATAAAATGAATCAGTCATTTTTTTTATCTGACCAGAACAAGTTAAATTTTATGGTAGCTGTTTTTTTAAATGAGTTATTTATGGTGCATACTTTAAAATCTGACTGAAATTACCTTTTTTCTATACATATAGCCAACCGCCTTGGGGTCACACTTCTGAAATTTGATTTTGTTGATAATGGACAAATTGGTTTCAAAGTGTTGATTAGGAGTTTTGGATAAGTCAATTCATGTAAGCATTTTACTGTAATAGGAGGGATCTTTTTGGTGCGTCTTGAAATCAACTATTGAATAACACATTGAATCAACTTTTGAATAAGATATCTCTTTTTTTTAGCATATTCAACACAGATAAATACAAAATATCTTCTATGCACAATTTTTATGTGAAGCCGTTGTTGGTTGCAGATTTTTCATTTCTATTTTTTGATCATTTACTTCAGGAATCTAATTTGCCTGAAAAACCACCAGGATGACCCAATAGCCAAAGCAAATGTTGTATCATTTCCTTGTACTGATGCTTGTGAGTATTTAGAATATGTGAATTGCTTTTAGACCTACTATGTGTAACGATATTAAGGCCGAAATAATGTCTTTGATATAGTGAAGTAAAAACTTCAATTCAATCATTGTTTTTTTTTGTGTGTGAAAAGTGTGCACAGGGATTAGAAAAAATATACATATGGATGTTTTGAATAATATCAAATGTTTTTAGGGTATTTTGTGTGAAATACAACTGTTTGCCTAACTGCATGTTTCCACTTTCTAATGATTCCTGTTTGTGTACTTTTATTTGTCCTCTCCCTCTTACAGATATCAAAGACCAACCCGATTTAGATGTGAAGGAATGGGTGTCGGTGATGATCGAAAGTAAGGGGAGGAATTCAAAAATCGACTTTATTCCTTTAAGGAATTCAACAAAAGAATGGAAAGATGTGGGGGTATGTAATTAGAAACGTAGAGAACAGTTCTTATGTTTCACAAACATTACTTAACTGCATTAATTACAAAGTAGGGAAACAAAATTAAAAACCAAGTTACATAATATTTGATAAATGTCATGCATTATATGAATGATGATGTTCTTAGGATAAAACATTGAGATTTCAAATATAACTTTGCAGCAACTTAGTAATTTGCTATGTTGTGTTATAATCACCTTATTGATGCTAAGACGTAAGAGTTGTATATTTAAGTATTTATTCATTGCAATGGTTGTAGCAATTCATTAAACTCAAGTTTTAGTTGCTGTGACATAAGATTTTTTTGATAAAGTATGCATTAAGATTTATATCTTTAATACCTGTTGTAGCTTTTACTACTATTAAAACCTTCAGTTAGAATTAAGATTAACACAGGCAATATGTGAACCTTTATTATATTTGGTTAAGTGACATTGGGAAAATAAATCGGAATAAAATGTTTAAAACCAGTAATGTAATTCTAAGCTTATGTCATTACATTAAATTTCATTTTCAATTTTTATATTAGGCCAAACAAATTATTAGTTGTGTTTCCGTTATCATCCTAAGAAAAAAAAGGGTAGGTAGGTTGGGAACACAATAACCTTTTTCTTTGACCTTATAATCATTTTAGGAATCCATAATAATTTTGATTATTTTTGCTTGATTTCGTTCCCTCAATTTAATCATTACATGCACTTTATTCCTGCTGTACTTGTAAATATCATTTTATCAAGAATGTTCATCTGTGAAGGTTTTCATACATTTATTTTGCTGAAACTCAATAACAGTATATATAGAAAAGTGATAAATTATGGATTGCATATCTTGTCATCCCTCCACAAGTAAAGAATGAATGAACTTATATGTTTACAGGGGTATTAAGAACTGAAGATCCATTGAGATTAGACAAAATCTCTGTTGTCATATTTTTTTATACTGCTAGTTTGCTGTTCATTATGTCAGCAAATGAAAATCTGATCTCGCTTTTAACACATGAATATTATTTTTCTATGATTTTTTTAATCAGTTTCCAAATCTTGATTATTTATTTGTAGAGAAACAGTTTCTTATCTTGGCCAATCCACATGACAGATTCACTTGCTGTCTACGAAGAGGTAAGATAATATAAACCGTAAGATAATCCAGTGCAAAAATTATAACATTTCTAAATCATAATGTGGAACCTTTTGGCTGTATTATTATATTCAGCCTCAGGATGATAGTTATAATTTTAAGTTGTGTTATGTATAATGGCTTTGTTTTATAGATTGGAATTGAAACTCTGTATTGCATTCTTTAGTTTACCAAAACAATGGCCAAAGAAAAAAAGAAGCAGAGAGGTGTCATAAGGCCTTTTCAACCGCAGCCACCTATGCCTGAGGCAGTTGAACCCCAGCCACCTATGCCCGAGGCAGTTGAACCCCAGCCACCTATGCCCGAGGCAGTTGAACCCCAGCCACCTATGCCCGAGGCAGTTGAACCCCAGCCACCTATGCCCGAGGCAGTTGAACCCCAGCCACCTATGCCCGAGGCAGTTGAACCCCAGCCACCTATGCCCGAGGCAGTTGAACCCCAGCCACCTATGCCCGAGGCAGTTGAACCCCAGCCACCTATGCCCGAGGCAGTTAAACCCCAGCCACCTATGCCCGAGACAGTTGAACCCCAGCCACATATGCCCAAGGCAGTTGAACCTCAGCCACCTATGCCCGAGGCAGTTGAACCTCAGCCACCCATTAACGAAGAAGTTCAACCATCAGAGGTCAATGATGATCAACAGGACGAGGAAGAACACACAGCATGCCCAAAACCACAGTAAGTTTGTGAAACTGTTCTCAAATTGTCCCATACTAAAGTTTGCATGGTAATTATTACTCAAATGAAACCTAGTTTTGAAGATGATCATAGTTCTATTGTCAATTTAACAACATGTCAGTTGTTCCTCTGCAGTAATTTGTTACTAATTGAGGTTTCTTAAAATTGAATTATATAAGTTAATGTATAGGTGTGAGGGAAATACTATTTTAATTGTCCCCAGAGACAATAAAAGTGCCATTTCCTGAAAAACCCATAAAACAACTGTTTTATTATACTACCAACAAAATCATTCCTGACTGGTTGTTTTGCAAACAAAGTATATGTCTGCTTTTGTCTCGGAAATGCTTACAGACTTGATCCTATTGTATGCAATGGAAGTAGAGATGTTCCAAAGGAACATAACAAACAATATGTCCAATCAGAATGATAGAAGCCAAATATTCTGCGAAAAATTTGAATGCAGGTTTAAATAGCTAATTCCAGGAAAACAGCTCTAATGACTATTTACCTGGTAAAAAATTTCTTGAAAGAGGTTATTTTGAATACATTTCTATTTTCTACTTTTATACAGTGTAAAAAAGAAGAACTGTATATTATAAAAAATATTGTACTATGACTTAAAAGGAGAGTTTAAGAGAATAGGTAATCATTTCGGATTAAGATCATGATAATTTTGGTTAAAAATATACCAAGTTATTGTGTCCATTTTGATAACTGTTTCCTACCATATGCTATTGTCCATCTGCTTTGTATATTTCTTAAAAACATTCTATTTATTTTATTGCGATCGCCTTTTGTCCGGCATCCGTCGTGCGTCCGTAAACATTTTTCATTTTCAACTTCTTTTCCAAAACCCCTAAATCAATTTCAATGAAATTTTGCAGAAACCTTCCATGGCCAAATGTTAACCAAAATTGTAAATTATATGGTCCCCAGCCCCCAGGGGCCTGAGGGACAGGGCCAAAAAGGGTCAAATTGACAAACACTTGCTTACTTTCCATCAGAATTAATTCAAACTTGGTTAGCATTATCAGTATTGGATAGCAGATTGATGGTATGCACATATCGGCCCTGACTGACCCCCAGGGGCTGATGGGTGGGGCCAGAAAGGGTTGAATTGACCGAAATTTCAAAAATCTTGTCAAGACCCAGATATTGTAGAATCAAATACTCTTCATATATGGAAGGGTCTTTACCAATATTCAACTGACTGACAGAACCACTATTTGTACATAGTACATTTACTACCCAGATCTTTCACACTACTTGTGCATTACATGTGGTTCAAGTTACCTTTGTTACAAAATTTATATTTTTTTCATTTGGCAACATCAATACCAGCAGTTTTTACATAACTCAGGTGACCTTTAAGGCCCATGTGCCTCTTGTTAATCATTTTAACTACCTTGAGAGAACATTATCTGAGTGGCGAAAGTGTTAAATTCCGGGCTCTGGGTTTTCTAACTTATTAAAAAACAGCCATAATCAAGACTTGTTTTGCATGTGAATTTAAAAAAGAAAGTGAACAGATACATGCAAAATGTTGACAGAACACAGTTTATTTAAGTGAACCAATCAATTGCTGTTCTGTTGGACCTTTGTTTCATCCCATTTTAATTTATCTGATTTGATTTTCAGATTGGATGACTATGTAGAAGTGGCATTTCCAGTGAGTGGAAAAAAGAAACAAACACAGCTGTTTTTTGGACAGGTAGGGATTATTATGTCAGATACCAGACCGTGTGTTCATTATGTGATATTCACACACTTGCACAGAAAAGGTGACAGCTGCAAGTCTCAGTTATTTACATATACAAATGTAACATTATTACTTCAACCAGGGTGTCAGCTTTAGCACTGAATAGGAGGTTAAGCAGTGAATATGGTTTATAGAATATTAGTTTTTGTATAGGTCAGAAAGCTCAATACAGGACAAATAATACAACGTAATGCACAAAACTTATACAGGATTATTTGTTTCTGGCTTTAAAAATTGCATGATTAACGTCGGATTTTTTTTTAGCATTACCTATTTAACCCTGTCAAAAATGTTAACAGTAGGCTGACCCTGTCTCGAGAAATTATTCTGAAATAGAGGTCTCAAACTTTAGAGCTGTTAGCCAGATGAATGGAGTCTTGACATAGTGAACACTTCAAATTGATACCTGTAGATCCTGTTTCACCATGTATTATTGTCACCCATTTTTATATCATATGTATTCTCTACACTGTATTGTTTATGAGAATAAAACCATTGTCATTGTTGAAGTAAAAAAATGTATATTTGTTGGTTCATTTCAGATTGTAAACTTGGATCCGCTGACTGTAAAATTCTTGCGGAAAACTGATAAAACAGGATTTTTCGTATGGCCGAGAAGAGAAGATGTGTCCGAAGTTGAGGAGAAGGAGATTATGAGGGTTTTGCCACTTCCTACATTAGAAGGGAGGGGGAAGGAACTACTAGTTTTTAAATGTTAAAGTATCAACATCAATTGATTAATTAATAAGGCCAAACAAAATATAGTGTTTCTGGTAACCCTATTGCTACCTACCCTTATTTGTTGTGCCTACCCTAAACTTTTCAAGTCAATTTTCAAAGAA